GGATACAAATTGCCTAATAAAATTTAATCATTCCCTCAAAGTGTAAATGTAATATATATGTCTAAAATTGTAGCAGAGAGTTCACTCAGCTCAACAAAGAAAAAAAGTCTCCAGCAGTAGATCTACTACCACAGTGAATTTAGCTGTGACACTTTCTTGCTCTTAATGATTCAAGATCGGTTACCATATTACACCTTTTCAAGAAGGTTTTCATTTCTCCTTGACCTCCCTAATATTCTACCCATAAATTGGTAGGCACATTGAGCCTTTGATCTGGAAAAATATTTCATCTTGTGCACAATTTTAAGTACCTGAATAATTCTAATGATTGCTGGATCCCAGCCATCTATGACTCACAAGAAGACTTTATAGTGATTAAGACACTGAATAATGACCAGGTGGTAGGGGCACAGCACCCATTTGACACATTTCTCCTACATCGTTTTTTGAGAATTCCTTAAACTATGCCTTAAATTTGTCCTCAAAATATTAAAACTTTTGTCACATACATATTGTGAGACTGTGGTCTTTGAAGTTTGTGAGACAGTGAAATAATAATTGAATATGGTCCATAGAGAAATTAATAATAAATGTGAATATTTTAGTCAGGCCTAACTGAAACAGACCTTATGTTGTAGAGAACGGATGTTTAAAACTGTAGAACTCTTGAAAGAAATGAGTTAGAAGATTATTGTCATCTCCAGTGAAAAAACTTTTATGCTTAGAAATGATCAAGAGAACCAGATTTTCCTACTTAGAAGTGCCCTAGGGTAAGAATGGCTGTGCAATGTGAGCCGCTATTAAAGTCCACCACTGCAACAGCAATGTAGATAAATTTCCAAAAGCAAATCCCTTAATTTGTGCAGCAGTAGTTTTACTGTGACAGCACTGAAGGACTAAAACTAGTGGACTGTAGTGGTAAAGTATTAAAAATCTATCAAAAAATAACTCATCTTTCTCTTTCATGATAAGTAGACATACATAAGTACATACAGATCTGCATAGAAAAACGTATTTATAGAAATATGTCTGTATATGTCTGAAGGTGTGAAAACGCATACATATATGTATATATCATAATAGCTAATCAGCTACTAGTTTCTTTTTCACTAGTCAGAATTATTATGAAATAAAATTGCATGGTTTTAATTCTTTCATGTTCTTAAATGTTCTTAATTACAGAATCATTCTTAAATTTCAACTTTCCGTGGAAAATATGTGTGGCACATTTTCACAGGGAAGAACAAAAGAAAGAGTTCACTGAACACATATGGATGAGAATTAAAATCTTTCCATCCAAATATATCACACAGGCCCTTTGTTGGAATGCATTTTCTCTGAGGCAAAGCAGTTGGGATAGCACTAGTTCTCTGTATCCACTTTTGATCATGAAACAACTTCACAATGCATAATGGAAAATTTAATGTGATCCAGGAGGCTGAGGGTATTAGCATGGGGACTAAAAGCCTGTACTTAAAGGCACTGATATAGCATTTACTTACTATTTAACTTGGTTTTACTTTCCACATCATGTGCACAGGGTTTTGTTCATTTGAGGTTTTCAGAAAGTTTAGTTCTAGTTCAGAGAAATTTTAAATGCGTGTTATTCCTTCTGGTTTTACTACCAAAAGTGGAAAATTGCTATAGTCATTTCACTACCAGAACATATTAAACATAGCTTTACTCTATAATGTAATTCTATATAGTAAATATTTATCTTACTTTTGAAATTGTGGATGCCAAAGCTATTAAAAATTTCATTACCAGTGCAAATAAAAGATATAATTTTTATCACTACTGTTAATATTTTTAAAAAATATAGAATAAGCAAATTTTTTAAATTGTTTTAATTTTGTGTAGCAAATTCCAAAATAAAGCAGCTCAGCTTTGCTGTAAGACATCTGTATTAGTTTTGGTCCCTGACTCCTTGAAATTTTTACCTCTTCTTGGCTTGAACACAACTATTTGGCCCACCTAAATATAAACTCATAGTTAAAAAAAGAGAAGAGCATTTTTCCTTGTTGCAACAGTTCTTTCGCTCTTTGAGTGATGAAGGAGCATTGATATGTGGTGTGGCAGAGAGTGGTGGAGGCATGGAGGGGACTCAGAGTGGAAGCAAAAATTTCTAAGGGCATGAGCTAAGGGACAAAGACCTTGTTGTGTCTGCAATTTTGGAATCACAGGCAAGAAGTAAAGTGTTCTCTGCCTGTTGACAATTTTGAAGTTTTGGAGAGTAATTCACCAACCTCTTTTCTTCAGCTTGCAGTGGATGAGGAGCTATCAGAGTGATCCTTGACTCATCACACAGCACAAATTTGGGACTCAAACTCACTGCTCCAGGAATAGGACAGAAATGGATAGAGCTGAGAAGCAAGATGCATGGCTCAGATTTACAGCCATCTCCAGTGAGACTTTCTTGTCAGTAAGTGTAAAGTAAAGGAAGGAAATGAAGAGTTGTATCTAATTTTTTTTCCTCTCAATTGATGTCAGGCTTTCCAGTTTCACTGCACCCATTAAGCTGTCATGTGTAATGTGGACTTGAATATTTTTCCTTGCAATTCATTCACTCTATGAAAGAATGTTTTCTTTTCAGAGAACTGATGGCTATCCACAAAAGGAAGTTTTCACTGAGGGGTGTGAAAGAAAGTCCTAAATAACTATTTGCAAGTATTATTGTTGACACAACTCTTTTTTCATTCAACTGCAAAATTCTATTCAGGATTTTTTTTCATAAACTGCAAATTGCAAAATATGAGTGATTTTTATTCCCTGAGAATGTTCATATGTAATGAGAGTTTTTAAGTTGTTTTCATGCTGGTTTTATATGTTATTTCCTAACAGAAATTATCTCTATCAATCCTGTAGAAATGCTTTTAATTTTCTTTTTTTCCTATTAACAAATTTCTCATTATGACAAAAATGACTGATTGCACGAGTCAGCAATGTGCCTTTGCAGTAAAGAAGGCTAATTGTGTCCTGGGCTGTAAAAGCACTGGTAAAAGCACTATAAAAGCTACTCAGCACTGGTGAGATGGCATCTGGAGTACTGGACATACTGGACATACTGGAAAAAGTCCAGTGAAGCGGTACAAATATGATGAAGGGATTGAAGTGTGTCTCTGAAGAGGAAAGACTGAGAGCTGGGACTGTTCAGCATGGAGGAGGGGATGCTTAGGGGGAACTTAAGTGCACAGGAGGGAACCATGCTTTTTTCAGTGGTGGCCAGGGACAGGAGCAGAGGGGATGGGCACTCACTGAAACACAGGGGGTTGTCTCTGAATATTGGGAAACACTTTCACTGTGAGGGGGCATGTGTATATCCAAATATAAATACATGCCATTTCAGGAACATCATTCTGATTGGGATTTCCTCTTAATCGGTATAAAGAGTCCAAAAGGAGAACCTGATCAATTGAAAAATCATGGTCAGGAGCAAGTTATGGGCTCTGTAAATATTCCAGCCAGTGGCAAAACCCTTCTGAATACAAAGTCACAGCTCCTGCAACGCTCGCGAGAAACAGGAGTAATAGTAGTGCTGATAACTCATCCTAAAATCTTAGAAGTTTTCCATCTGTGTCATCTGTCTAAAAGAATTTGTCACCCAGTTACATTGCAAAAATTAGAGTATCTTCTCTTGCAGGGGTTTGAAGTTGTTAACTTTCTTGCCTATCATTGGTTCCTGTGTTGCAATAGTTATTATATTGTCTCCCTGCATTGGCTAGTCAAATGGCCAATCCCCTCTTTTCCCCACCAGCCCTTGTAAACTGGGGGAGATTTGAATAAAGTCTCTTGGCTGCTGGACTTCCTGGGTGCTGTGTGGTCTCTGTCTCCTGGCATAGGTGCCTCCACTGCCTGTTCCTGCCACGAGGGATGGGCAGCGGGGCGGGGGGGTGATTTCAGCCCTGGAACCTTCACAGAGCGGCCAGGAGTCACTTAAGAACTCACCCAAACTGCAACAGATGGCGCCCAACGGCACAAACTCCGCCCACGAAATTGGTAAACAATTTCAAAATATACTTTTAAATATAAACAGTGGGAACGATACCAGCTCGCTCCCCCTCCACCATTGACTAATCCTGTCTTTGCATTGCCGGGGAGGAGAGACGTTTTGAACAGCGGTGCAGGCTCTGCTGAGCACCCGGCGATTGAACTGTGCCACGATGCCGACCCCTGTGGCCCAGGGGGGTGGAGGGGCCGAGGGAGCTGCAGGCAACCGGTGTAGCATCGACACAGCAGTACTGGCTGCGGAGCGCCACGGAGATGCTGAGAGTGCAGCGTGGTGCGAACTTCGGGTAACAACACAGACTGCACGTGAAACATGTGTCTTCAACACGGAAGAGCAACATTTTCAAAGTGCCCGCCACGTCTCCGCCGCCGCCGGATGGAGAAAGCCGAGTGAGGGCCGCGGAAGTAGCGCCAGCTGCCGCCGCTGGAGTGGCCCCCGCTCTGCCCCGACGCAGAAACTTCTCTATCCCACACCGCCGCCCGGATCACGTGCCTCCGCTCTACACACCAAGAGAGTGCCGAGAGACCACCCACCTCCAGCCACGCGGCCGACCCATCCCCTGCTGCCCGCCCACCCCCCAACCCTTTTCCCTCAACTTTTTTTTCTTTACAGTCTAGCTTCAAAATACCCAAACCAGTTTTTCTGCTTTACTCTTCATATGTTAATTACCAGGTTTTACTTTTACATATCTTTACCGGGTACACCGTGATCAGCAAAATAAAGAAAACCCAACAACCCGCCCCAACCTAATTCCCCTTTTTTTTTAAAAAAAAAAAAGGGAGGGAGAAGGAAAAGAAGTGAGCAGCTACCTATTTGCTTTGAGAACGGGGAATGTATGTATTACTTCCAAACTATAGGAATGTTATAATTTGCAGTTAATCAAACTTCAATGGTAAACATTAGGATTTACTTTTTCTTTGTTGTTTAATAACAAATTCACATCTTTGTTCTTTATTATTAATTTAGAAATCTCCACGCAGAGAAAAGTAAGGGCCTCTCTGCCTGCGTTCCTGCTGCCTGGCAGTCGGTGCCATCATTCTCTCTCTGTGGGGCAATGAGCTGCTGCGGGGTGAAAGGGGGAAGAGCGAGAGGGCACATCCCTTCCCAGAGCTAGGGGCAAAAAGGAAAGCCTCTGCACTGGGGTTCCCCCTTCCCTATCCAATTAGCGTTCGTCAAATGGGCCTGATATAGGGTATCGTTTACCTTATTCCTTCTGTGAAGGGGAGGGCAGCTGCAGCACAGAAGACATTCTGTGTCGGGTGAACGCCCAGAGTTAGCGTCCCAGTGCAAGGTGGGAGCAGCTCTGGCATATTCCTGTTTCCCTCTAACCCTGAAAACAGATAGCTTTGGTCCCCAAGATGAAAGATTCTTGGGTCAACTCACATACCCCATAGCCTTAAGCTATATCAGGAGTATGTGTGGTGGAACGGTCTCCTGAAACAACCAAGGACTAGCCTAGTTGATCAGGAGGCATCAGTAGCCGGGGTTGGAGGCCACCCTAACTGGCTCGGGTTGAGCACCCAAACAAGCTCGGGTTGGAAGCCACCCTAACAGGCTCGGGTAGAGTCACCCAAACAGACTCAAGTAAAATTTAATTTGGAGATTTCTCTTTTTATAATAGGAACATAAGTCTTAAAATTACCTGTTTTCCCAAGTTCAATACAAATCGTCTTACTCGCTTTCTCATTTTTATATCAACCTTTATATTAACCTTTACCCCAGGTTCAACTAGAAAATCTTCATTGTTAAATCCCATTAAAATTACAAATGTTGTCTTTATTATAAATAAGAAAGGGTGAGATGCAGGCGTTTGAAGTTGTTAACTTTCTTGCCTATCATTGGTTCCTGTGTTGCAATAGTTATTATATTGTCTCCCTGCATTGGCTAGCCAAATGGCCAATCCCCTCTTTTCCCACCAGCCCTTATAAGCTGGGGGGGAGATTTGAATAAAGTCTCTTGGCTGCTGGACTTCCTGGGTGCTGCATGGTCTCTGCCTCCTGGCATAGGTGCCTCCGCTGCCTGTCCCTGCCACAAGGGACGGGCAGCGGGGCAGGGGGGTGATTTCAGCCCTGGAACCTTCACAGAGCGGCCGGGAGTCACTTAAGAACTCACCCAAACTGCATCATGCTCCCACTTCAGCTGAGTTTTGTATTCATGTAACTGAAATCTCAAAATTACCTCGACAATAAACACCGGTTGATAGAAAGGTGGGAAAATCAAGTTTCTGTGCTCTAGTTCATACAAGTAAAGTGCTGCGTGTTGTAATTTTTCTAATATACAAATAAACTCTCCAAACGATAAAATTTGTCCACTAGATATTCCCTTTGGCTTAGTATTTTTATCAGTCACAGAAGATAAAACCATGACTCAGAAAGCATTGATCACCCATGACTCTTTAAATAAAATTGTTCTGAAATTGTCTATACCAAACCATACAAATGAAAATCTGGATCAGTCAGGCGATAAGTTTTTATTTATAACCTCATTTATTTGTTTACAGTCCTGAATAAAAAATAGTTGTCTCCACAGTGTGAAAAGGCAGTGCTATTTCCAGAGCAGACTGAAAAAGTGATCTTGAATCTAATGGACCCTTTAACAAAACTCCTTTGTTATGAAAAACAAACAAAACAAACAAAACAAACAAACAAACAAACAAAACACACACCCCACCCAAAAAAAACAAAGAGGAAATCTCTCTCATGATTTAAGTTTGTACTTAACCTCCAGATAATCCTGAGTGACAGTTTAATAGATTTATAGATCAATCGTATATCACTATCTGGTTTGAGTATGGGCTTGTTTTCAGAAGGAAAAAATTTGCATAATCAACTTGACAGAAGATGGAGGTCAAAGAAATTTTGTACTTGTTACTGCCACTCGTAAAGGCATGGATATTCTTCATAGGGAAGAGGGCACAATCTTTCTCAATCCAGCCCTTGATTTAATTGACTGGTGGTCCTTGAATCTTTGATTCAGGGAATTAATGAGAATTCATCTTGTCTGAACAAGACTTTCTAATGTGAAGTTGACCTGGTTGTGACAAGTGTTGGCTGAAAGGAGCTGACAAAGCCAAATAAGCTGCATAGGTGATATGGTAGTTCCTGACGCCAAGCTTTGCTGTAGTAAAAATTTGTGCAGAGCTTTTAGACCTGGGTAAGATTTCTAAGGTTATTACTCTTTAGCTTTGAACAGTTGCAGGGCAGAATTGTACAAGCAGAGGGAAAGCAAAAGTCTTTTGTTAGCTTGTTGGAGTGTTCAGTGATCCCTGACAGTCACATCTTGTGTCACCACCAGGAATTCTCCCACTGCCATTGGTATATATTTCCTCTTTAAATCTATAAATAACATATTATTATAAAAGGGGAAGAGCATAGAAAGAATTATTGTAATTATCTTTTTATTTTGTGAAAAGTAATTTTCCAAATTTTTGTCCTTCAAGGAAACTAAAAATAACCCTCTTAGATGTGGTCATGGTGGACAACAGCTGGCAGTGGTTGGAGAAAGACTAATAGCATCCTTGTGTAAATACACAACAATATAATCTTTAATTTCATAATTACATACTATTTTTCTTTGTCTCATTCGGTGTTCAATGCTCAATTAATGAACCCCTATTGCAGTAATTTGTTTAATCATCTTCATTCAGTTTGGCCTGGGGCATATTTTCTGCACTACTCTGTTATACACTGAATTATTGATTTCCTAACAACTTCTTCCTTAAAATTCATTGCTAAAGTATGTAAATGAAGGTATTATAAATTAGAAAAAATATATGAGAAATATTAATTAATTTATCTTCACAACTCCTGACATACTTCCTCTTTTACATGCAGACTACATTTACATTGTTTAGCCTAGAAGCAATCACAGGCTCAAATATGGCATTTCTACGCTGCTCAATTTAGGAAGCCTGCAGCTGGGATATATTCATATCCCATAGTGCTTTGTCTTGTTAATTCTTTCTGTTGAAAATTCTCCACTGACTTGCCTGTTTTCCATGAACTGTTGCTGCAAGACATTCTGGGTTGTACAGGACCAGTTTCCATGGTGGTTAGACCTATTATCATATTGGTAGATCTACACAGCTGTTAGTGGCATAATTTGACTTAGCATAAAGACACTTCACACTACCTTCCTAGTATCTTATATCACCAGAGCATTGTATTACTGGCATCAGCTGCTGCAAGCACTCAGACCCTCTTGTAAATTGCAGACCCTGAGCTTAAATGAGAAGCCTGCGAAATCAAAGGCACACAGGTTCTGATCACCTGTGAAAAAGTTGTACTCAAATGTAATGTCAGATATCACATAGAAAACTCCAGACTAAAAGGGAAAAGTATCCAGAACAATTCTCCCACATCTAAGCGCATATATATAAATACTAAGTACATATATGTAAATACTTTTTTGCATTTTCTGCAATTCCTGCCAGATTGAACGCCTTCAACCTTTGGCAAGAGGGTGAATTAAAATGTCTTGAGGTGAGGCCAGTTATTATTTTTGGGAGTTAGTTTGCTATCAAAAATACCTACTCAGAAACTCAACATGCACTTCAATAGGTAGCAAACATATCAGTCTAAATTAGACTCTTAGATATGTAACTTCTATAATTTCCTAAATATCCAAGTCATTTCTGTAAATGCACTCTTTAGCAGTGAGTGCAACTGTACATATTGTTTCAGTACCATCTTTAATATCTTCAGAAAGCTGCAAAAACCATTCAGAGAGTAGCGTAAAATATCTTAAGCATATAAATGGATTTTTTTGCCATTTAAAGTCAAATTATCTACTTTGTTATTGACTATGAGAGCATAATAAAGAAAGATAGATCCTCTTAGGAGGCCAACCTCCCCTGTTATGACGAAGTAGAAGATCTTTATTATTTCTCACACTTATCGTTTATTTGTCTGCAGATGCTAGTTTTGTAAAAGACTGGTTTCATCTGGAATTTTTAATTTCTTTTTTAATTTTTTTTGAACCAGTATCTGGAAACATTTGCACTTACAGTAAGCAGTACAAGAGAAGTGAGTTTGGGAAGTTGTGCATCTGTTGGGAGGACTTATATATTGGATCTGTATCTGATAAACAGATGGTCTGTATCATAAGCTCCACAGGCTCCAAGTTCCTTGGAATTGCTACCACACACCTACACAGAATATGCAGAATGATTTCTGCACTTGCACAGTAGTTTATCTATTCCAAATAGATCAACTCTCTTGCACATGTGCAAACCACCTGTGAAGCACATGGACAACAGATCTGATGTGCCTCTTGAGGCAATGGGTCTGGTTACCATAGCTTCATTATGAAAGACTTTCTTTTTAGAGTATGTAACCTCCTGGCCTCCTCCCTCCCTCTAGCATAATACTTCTGATAATGAAATACTCAAGTACATACTTTTTCTTTCTATGGTAATGATCCAAAACTGATAGATGCTTGTTTATATAATAGATATACAACTTCTCTCAAGAATTCTGCAACTAGGGCTGAATTTTTTTGTAATGCATGGCACAGCTTTCCAAAATGCAAAACTTTTGCCAGAACTTCTGTTTTGATGTTGATTTTGTTTAAGACAAATATAGTTTGAACACCTAATGTTAGTTTACCTAATTGAATCCTTTTGCTTTTCAGATAAGTTATTTTCTTCCTTTTCTATTATCCCATGCATAGCATTATGAAGACTATGTAGTTTTAAATTATAAGTAGTAACTTTTCATTAAATTATACTCATTATAGGTAGCATATTAGCAAAATTACTGACAGTAGGAAAAATATTGAAATGAATGAAATGAAATTATTGGTTCATTAAATCAATATTTCTAAAACATCCACTCAGTCACCTGATGGGCCAGATGCTGAGCTATGTTCTCTGTCTCTGACTACTAATTATTTTACAGGTAAAAATTATGGTAATTTCTTCCTGTTTTGTGAATTGAAATATAATCCATATATGTCCTGGAGATGACTCTCTCTGTTATTAGTCCAGCATGACTTTACTGTCAGACATGCAGAGTGCATTTTCACTCTTTCTGAGATGGTAGGGAGGAAAACTGAAGTTCACTTCTCTCCAAGCATGCATAGTTTTGCTTCCATCTGCTCAAAAAGAAAAAAATGTGTGTTTGTTGTTACTGAAACTGCAATTGCCAACCTTTTTGACCTTCTAAGATACATTTGAACATTTTGTTTCTGTGGAGGGCCACTGTACATTCCACAAATGTACATTCCACAAAAACAAAAGAATATGCTTGTTTTCTCAGGGTTTGTATGGAAGTAGAGGAGGATATCACAGCACCTTTGTGAACTGTCTCAAAACAGGAACTACTCCACTGGGATATGGATTTTATGTGAGTGAACAGCAGAGTCTTAATATGCTGATGTTCACGTGTCTTAAGGCTCCTAGACTTGCTCTTACCCCATTGAGTGTGTTGTTCTTTAGATTACTTTGCATGGACCTCTGATCTTACAGTTTTTCTTATGTTGACTACAAAATGTTCCTCTCAATTTATTGAAAGTGTCTCAAATCCAACATCTGGTAAAAATCAGAGGAGAGGAGGAATAGTATAACTAGATCCTGAAAGCTTGTATATATTACTTTCATCCTGTTAATATAATAAAAGCTCTTATCTTCACACTTTTGTCATAGATTTATTCCTAATATGTACAGTTAAGTTTCCAGAGTGATAAATTATGAAAAAAACATGGCTCATAAATCGAGCATTCCTGCAAAGCTGCTAACAAATAGGAAGTCAGACTATTCCAAATTAAACCACACTTTCTATGTTGTGATTGTATTGGCTATTACTTTAAAGTGAAAGTAATTATAGGAAAGTAGAAAATTTCTTGTATTATTACCTTTATTTTCTATGAGTTAAAAAAAAAATGTTAAAATATAGCCTATGAAGTTTGAACTTGCAAAAGGGTGATTTGAAGACTGTCTTTTTTTGGGAAAAAAAACCAAGCAAACAAACAAACAAACAAACAAAAAACCCAACCTAGGAGTCATTGTAGTTTTGCATTCTTAATTTTTACATGTCTCCACTTGGGTTTGTAATTTTTCTTCTTTTTGTTTTTCTTTTCTAATTTTTTCTTTTTCTCTTATTTTCTTTTTATTATTATTTTGGTTTTTTTTTCAACAAGCTCAGCAAGAAAGCTTGATTATTAAGTATTACATTACCTCGACCTTTTTGCTATAAAGATTTGGACACCAATCTCCTACAAATGGGTTAGAAGTAGATAAATCACTCTCCTTGGCACTTCCCATTGTTTACCAGCTTGGTTAGCCAGCTTCTGCAGATGCCCTTCCTGACACAGAAACCCAGGAGCCTGCTGGGAAGAAAAAAGTGCCAGATTTCTCCTGATGCCCAGGAAAGCTTTGTTTGCTGTACGAGAATGCTGTGTGTTTTGATAAATGCCACTGTGCAGAACCAGCATGGTGGGCAGTTTAACTTTGTGACCTGCTTGAAGTTGATGGCTTCCCCCATAGACTGTCTTTGTCATAACCTATAGCATAAACTGTCAAAATTACTAAACTAAAAGAGAGCAATATTTATTTTACTGTTAAGTCATCTTTCCTCTGTGAAGATCTCAGGTGTCTTGGCATTCTCCTGGACAGTTTCATATGCTTTATTGTTTCCATCAGCTGTGTGCAGGGTTTTTTTTCGTTCAAGAGAGTGCATTCTTTGCACAGCCCCATTCTGTCACCCTGACATTTCACATGTTCCTTGAGTGTCTGGACTCAGCTTCTAGAAACAATTCAGAACAATTTTATAGTCTTCTGCAGTTGCAACATTGCTACTGTTAGAGCTACTATATTTGGAGACACGGCAGCTTTTGTTTTTGGGGAATTGTTTTCAGACAGTATTATTCACATTAAAAATAAAAGCAAAATGCCATCAGATGCCACCTGCATCTGAAGGAGAAACCAAAGCCACCCCTCAAAAAAAAAAAAAAAAAAACAAAAACCACAAACAAACACCCCCCCCAACAAACAAACAAGAAAACAAAACAAAACAAAACAAAACAAAAACAACAGCCTTCTTTTACTGCTACCGATACAAATTTTAAGGACTACTTTTAGAGAGCTTTAAATTGTCATGTCTAGGTTTCTAAGCTTGAAAGCCATCTCTGACAGGGTACGCAGAATGAAATCCTTACCTGAGGATGAGGACAACAATCCCTAAGGCAACAACATGCCATTTTTTCTGAGACAAAGTTGTTCACAGAAGGCTGTGGTTAGTTAAGTGTCTTTTTATCCCTTCCATCTCAGTCCCTAATGTATTCTGAATCCTCTCTCACGAGCAGTAGCAGATGGGGTATTCAGGGGTAAACATTTTTACACTAACTATTGCTCTGTGTTTCCATGGGCACTGGCAGAACAAGCCTTTTGCTGCTCTCAGCAGCCTTCCGACTCAAGTAGCTGCCCACTTTCTAGTGCCTAAGGTCAGCTCTAAGACATCCTGTTTCCCTCAGTCAGACACTGTTTGTAGAGTGGACTGTGATTAATCAAACAGTGCACTGCGTTCATCTGAGCTAAGAAGATATTAAATAAAAGGCTTGAAGCAGTGTGTTCTGATCACTGTCATTATCTGTAGCATTGGATGATCAGTCTGAAACTACCTGATTCATCATTAAAAGGGAACATGGTTTTATATTTTTGTTATTTCATTATGAAATACAGAAAATCTTTTTCAAGATAAATGAAAGTATGTTTACATTAAAATAAGAACCTTGCCTCATATCACAGAACACAGAGTTAAATTTATTAAAAGATATGAGGGTTGTAAATAGACTCGGTTAGATAGCTATAGTAGAGACTATCTTGTGTTCAGTATTTTTCAGGCACCGGACCTGCAAGGACTGTCTAAGTTTACCACAAAGCATTGTTTGCGACCTCTGTGCTTACATGGGTTCAACAAAAAAACATTTCTTCTGTATTCACTGCAAGTGCATAATCTCATAATCTGTATGTCACTTATAAAATTAAAAAGTACCTTTGCTGTATCCTCTGCTCTTCCCCTGACCTTTCCCTCAGAGCATAGTCATTTAATGTATTTTAAATTGATTAATCACTTAACATATCCCAGATATATTTTTGTCTTGCTAATCTTCATCTCATAGACATTATGTCATGATTCTTCTTTCCCAGCACAAGGATGGAGGGAGCTAATATATAAATTTTTCAATCCTTTTAAAAATAATTTATTTTGAAAATAACAAGATGACAATTAAAAACAGCAGAAAATATCAGAAGAAAGAATGAAAAAACTTTTTACTACATGCTCCTACACACAGTGTAATTTAATGTATGATATAAGCCAAAGCGTTATCACCCCAATGTTGTGAAGACTGTATGGTAAGAGAAGGAATTCTGAAATCCAGAAAGAATCACATCAAAATTCAAAACTATAAAATCAATCTGGAAGGCAGATATAGTCTTTTAAATCCACAGTATAATGTAATTTGATTTCACAGAAGAAAAATGACAGACATCAATGCTCTGCTATGATTCAAGAGCACTTTTTTTGAAGCAGATCTAGTGGTCTAACTAAAGTGTATCCACATCTTTATTTATGTACATACTGTGCCTATCTGTGCACTGGAATTTACATATGATATAAAATACATAGCATTCATATACTAGTCCAGTAAATAACAACTTTTTAACCTCTCATAAACTGTGACCAATGGTCTAGTACTTCTGTTATTGATCTTGTGTCATCTGAAGGTATATGTCAATGTGCACAGGTATGTGCACCCAACAGATACTTACCAGTGAATCCTGTGAGGAGAATTCAAAATTCTGTGGTACCAACAACATTTTAATAAATCCCATCTGTAGCTGTATTCGTGTGCTACCCTTTGAGGTTCCATCATGCAGGTGAAAACTCCCAGAATAGAAAGCACAGTGGCTTCACATGCTGCAATGATCCTCCAGAAATCGAGGAGTCCCAGCACTTGAGTACTTTCTGCTCATTCCATAGCGGGGCAGTGCTGCAACCTCCACTACTCAGTATTAGCTGAGGTATTCTTCCTGTTGCCTGGGTCTTTAAAGCAAGGTACTTTATCAAGCAAAGAGTAACTTCAGCCAAGCATGTGAAATTGTTCACAGCGAATAGAAGTCTGATTAATATTCACACCACAAATCCTGGTATATCAGAATTACATTTAACCATAAAGAAACTAAGTTCTTTATGATGAGAAAATACAAAGAAGGAAACCCAAATAGTTTTAACACGAGCTCTAATTCTTAGAAGAAAATTAATCTTTGAAAGGAAGAGTTCTTGGAAATATAGAATCATTGTAATGAGAGTCATAATCAAATGCCATTTAATGTTTCCTATCTGGTGTATCATTATGACAAGAAGAACTGCTATGCGAGGTGATGATATGAAACAAATTAACATGTGTGAAAGATTGCACAGATAGGCTCAGGTACAATGCAAATAGGGGAGCAAAGAGAAAAAGACAGAAAAGAAACAGAGCATCCCGTCATTTACTCTCTCATCTAACCCAGAGAGTGCAACATACTGTGATCTTGTCTAGCAATGCAGGATTCAGGTCAGGTTTTTAAATTTCTTTATTTGTCCTTACCTTTCATATATGTATATAGAGAGAATTGGCAGAAAAATATATGTCTGTGTAGAGAGGAACAACTTTGAAATTTCCCCCTTATTATTATCAAAACAGTGAGATACCTTCAGCAGGTTTTCTTGTTCTACAGTTTTTTGACCCATGCATATTACTACTATTTATTCACCTTACAGAGCTTCTTGTAACAAAGGATGCTATGTGCCTACTGCCAGTATGTGGGCTAACAGCCTGATTTCAACATATTTTCCTATAGCTTAGCGTTCAGTTCTCTTAGATAAGAACATTCTGAAAACTTGTTTCAGACACTGAGTACTAAAAAAGCTCTTTACTGCATAGGCGGCAGACTATACTACTCAGGTGAAAAATCTTTCTCAAGAGTTCTCTAAAATTAAAGAAAATCTGTCTATTGTGTTATAGAGTTTCAGTAGGTGGGTGAGACAAAGATGGGATCCAGGACATCTTATGTGGGAAAATCTTTTTTTCCTACCATTGCTTTCTTTATCTTGCACTGTTGCAGTTTTTTATTACCAGTGACTAACATTTTTAATTTTTGGCTAAAAGCACAATGGGGTTTTTTGGGGGGGGTTACTTTTTTTTTTTTTTTTGGTCATGGCTGTGAGCCTGCTGGTGCAGCTACCATTTCCAAAGACAGAACAGATGCAGAGAAGATAACCGAAGTATTTACACACTGTTCTCCCTTGTCCTAAAGTTCTGATAGTTGCAAAAATCAAAATTTTTCAGGGCATGATAACTAGATGAAGTTTGTTTTCATACACATTATGACTACAATAGCATGCAATATGCAATTGCATACAATAACCTCATACTTAAAAAACAACAACTTTACAGACAGCAAAATTGCCCCCTTCTGGGTCAGTTATATCCACAGTGAATGGTTTATCTGATAGTCACAGTAATATGATAACAGTCTCTTTGCAGGAAAAAATGCCTTTCAACAGTTTTTTTTCTGTAAGTGGCCATTCTAATATAACTGCTATTGATCATTACGCCACATTATCCCTGAGTGATTACTCAGTAAATTTTAGACACCACAGCTGTTACCTTCAGCTTTGCTATTTGCATACAAAGCATAGTTGATGAATAGAGGTAAACTGTCTGAAGAAGAAAAACTAGTTGTACTATCAGCTATTTCTTTTTTCAGCATCACATGCACAGACATAATGGCTTGGGCGTTCTCTAGACAGCTAGACTCTCATGCAGTACTTATGAAGATTTTGCAGACAAAGCCACCTAAAGGAAAAAAAATACATTTGCTTTCAGAAGGCACTTAGTAAAACATTGATTATTCTCACAGATTCATTCCAGTATTTGATCTGAATACCACTGATTCATAGCCTTTTACCTGGGTGGAAGTACATATTTGTGATTTACTACAGTAGATGGGATATGGAGTCAAGAAGATACAGTAATAAAGAAAACATGAGGAACAACTATCAACTTGTTTAGATACTGGTTTCAGAAAATAGGCAAAGGGCTACTAGGTATCACACTTGAGGAGAATGTGAGATTCAGAACGTATTAGGTCAACTGTGTTGTATGTAAGTGATTTAGAATCCAAAATGTCAAGGCACAGAAATCTTGTGGCTTTTAAATAGTGGTGCCACAGTAAATTTACATTCTATTATTTCCATATTATATCCTCTAGGCCTTAGCAATGACTATAGAAAGCAATTCCAGATGAGTAATGCTTGGGAAAACACGCATATGCGGCTGCTGCTGGCAGCAACAGCCTTATACCTGTCCAGCTAAACTACAGTGACACATACCCAGTACTTCAACATGATATTAAATTGTTTATGTCTCTAACAAATGTCAAAAAATGAACACTATCAGGCTGAAACACTGGACTTTGTTTTTGAAAAGACCTGATACGACAAACATCACCAAGATCCCATTAAGCACCACTATCAAATAAAGCATTGCACTTAATCTTGTCCACAGGCAGAGCAGACAAATGTAGTTCTCAAGGTGCACAATGTGCCGCTGCTGCCCCCTTAAGATAAGTAAACATAAATAATTATATGTGTTGTAGTTTCCCTACATTTTCTGAAAGCTCTTTCTCTATAAGCTATTAAACAGCTATTATAATAAGAGGCTTGCCTAGTGTAAGCTGATGCAACAGTAAATCCAGTTTATTACAAAACCTTTGAAAAAGTGAGGTTTAGTTTAAGGATCTCAGATTTTTTTTTTTTTTTTAAATTTCCATTGGAAGCTTTAAAAGACAGCAAGGCATAAAATGTGAAAACAAAGATAGAGTTAACACTTTTAAAACTCTAAGAACAGCTATTGTCATAGAGAAAAAAGGTTCAGTCTCTACCCATGCACTTTAGAATGACATACAGCTCAGTAACCTTGACGGGCCATAAGGTGATTATGTGAAAACTGTAGCAAGGATGAGTTATTATCACTTTCCATTCCTTTAACCTTTGTCAAGAGACCTGATTAATGTTTGGTCATTTGCTCCTTTCTTTAAATTTTGTCTAAGACTCGGATATTAGAATTTTAATGGCTGCTGATAGATGTCCTTTGAAACTGAATTGCATAGAGTAGTATTTTGACCTAGACTGATGTTCTCCATTTTCACTTGGCTGTTCACCTCTGCATCTTTGAATTGACTTCATTCAGACACAGTGGAGAAAGCAGAAAAGTTAACTCTGTGTGTATAAAAGGATGAGGTTTTTTCCTGTTGCTCTCTATTCAAGAACTTAATATCATAAGGTCATAGAGGCACAGTGGGGTCTAAATAACTGCAATTACTGAACATATAAAAACTGTAAGGCCTGCTACTTTCAGCAATTTCTGGTGAGTTTCAAATTGTAGAACAAAGCATAGAATCCTATAATCATTTACATTGGAAAAGATCTCTAAGGTCATCAAGTCCAA